AAGGTCGTCGGTGATCTCCAGAACCACCTAGAGGATCAAGATGAACTCTGGTAATACATGTGGAGCCGTAACACCACAGGGAACTTCTCAGCGGATTCGTACACACATACACAAGTACATGCCACGTATCTGAACCTGTGTGTGGTGGCCAACGCATCGCAGCAGCAGGTAGCCACACATACATATAGCCTCGAGAAACGACTTTCGGAAGCTGATGCCACGCGTTGGTGCGGTTCTTGGGAATTAGGGGAGGCTGACTTGTCTCTGAAAGCATGCTCTTTCCACACCACACACAGCCTCGATCGAGAATCAACTTCCCGAAGGTGATGCCACGTCGCCACGCGTGGTGTAACTTATTCGCCGGCTGATACGATTCTTCATTCCTGAGGTTTGCTTGGAGAGGGACAGGCTCGGCCGATCTTCCATTGTTCCATCGATCCATGCATCTAGCTCAGCTCGCTCCACCTCTGGAAAATGGCCTTCTGACCCGTTCGTTCGCGCCAGGCTACCCAGCCAACATCGAAGGTTCAACAAGGACAAGTCACAACGTCCAAGGTCCAGGTCCGAAATAGACTTTTAGTTACATCACATCAGCCAGAATGCTTATATATACTGAGCCGATGGGTTGGACTGGGGAGATCCAAAAATGGAGCGCGCGCTGGCCGTCGCCTTGCTCGTCATGCTCACGCTCTGGAGCGTGCCGGTGGCGGCCGGCGACGGAGGCATTTCCCTGGCGCCGGAGGCGTGCCGCCTGGACCGGCTTCCCCGTGGCTCACCCGGAGACGCTACAACGGCTGGTAATTAAATACAGTTGTGCTTTCAGTTGAACCGTCAATATACTCCCTCCGTTTCTAAATATAAGTCTTTTTAGAGATTTTATTGACTAGATACGGATCAAAATGAATGAATCTACATTCTAAAATGTGTTCATATTCATCCGTATGTAGTTTGTAATGGGAGAGAGTATATACTAGTGGTTTTTCTTGGAAACGTTCAAGTTGCGGTAGCCGCCCGATCATGAACCGCGCAACAGAGATCATGAACCCTCAATATTCACATTGATGAAGTTTCAGTGTTTATTTAGGGAAAATTCGACTCAAACACTAGCCAGAAGAGCTTTGTGAAAGAAATGCCGTTCTTCGAACAACATTAATTTTTTTATTTTGAGCGAAACAACCTTAACTTAGAGATTTTCTTTTTGAGGGAACCTTAACGTATTGAGAGTTGTCCGGGTATAGATTTTCTTTTGGGGGGATGTCCGGGTATAGATTTTGACACCCTTTTCGATAATTAAAAGGACTGTGCTAACGTCCAGTCGACTGGACGTTAAGAAACAGATCCACACAATCGGTGATTAGTAAATCAACTGCATATGAAGAGAGCGATTGTGACTTTGCATGCCCAGGAGTGAGCTGCGAGGTGTAGTCACTCCATTTTTAAACATGCATGCATATAACAACAAAACAGATGACATCACCAAAGATTCTTTCGTAATTTAAACTTTAAAATGTTTTGTAGCTCAAACCGTCGCTCGGATTTAAAAACTGCTTTCACATAAAAATCACCGCGACGAGACCTTCAAAACTAGATCCCATGTTGACATGTTTCAACGACATTTTTTTAGTACAAAGTTACCACGGGTGTGCTACACAAGTTATCATGTCGGTTGTGTATCACTTATCATGTTGTTTACACATAAATTATCAGGACATAAAAAATAGTTCTTGTAATCTTCCCTTCACATGCACATGAAGGCATGCATTAGAAAGAAAAAACTGATGCATCCTGGATTGTATATAAAAAAAATTGTCTGTCTAATAAAAAAATCGTTTTCACATAAAAAATCCATTGCGACAAGACCTACAAAACCAAATCCCATGTTGATATGTTCTGACGACTTTTTTGTTTGCAAGTTATCAGGCCTAGGCCAAGAAAGTTATGAGCTCTCATGTTCGTATATTATCATGATTTTTACACATGATTTATCGTGATACGTTCTTAATTATTTTTCTCAGGACAAAGTTATCGCGGTGTTTGTGCATGAGTTACCACACTTGTCATCCGTACATTACCACGCCATTTACACATAAGTTATCGATGATATGTTTCAAACAACTTCCCCTCCCCATGGGGTCAAAGTTACCGCGGTGTTTGTTTGTAAGTCGGGTCTGCGGTTCGTATATTATCATGTTTACACAGAAGTTACTGATGCATATTTTTAACAAGCTTTTCCACCGGGTTAAAAAGTTAGCACGTTGTTTGTACTTTAGTTATCATGTCTATGGTGCATATATTACCATGTTCTTTCCACAAAATTTACCAAGGGTATGGTTTCAAACAAAAAACTCTCTTGGTAAAAGTTGTCCTGATGTTTGTGCGTAAGTTACCATGTCCGCAATGAGTATATTAACATGCTATTTCCATGGAAATTATTGGGCGTATGGTATCGACAACTACTTTTTCTCTTGATCAAAGTTACCACGGTGTTTTTGCGTGAGTCATCACGCCGAGGTGTGTATATTACCATGCTATTTAAGTAGAAGTTATTGGGGTATGTTTTCCATAACTTTCTCACCCGTTTCAGAAAGTAAACACGACGTTTGTATGTGAATAATCAACTCTACGGTGCATACATTAGCATTTTATTTACGCGTAAGTTATCAGAAATGTTCTCAATAACTTTTTTCTCTCGGGTCAAAATTATCACCGTGTTTGTGCATAATCTATTAGGTTTGTGGTGTGTAAATTATCAATGCTTATTACACATAAGCTACGAGGGGATGGTTTCAAACAACTTTTTTCCCTCGCGTAAAAGTAAACAATGTTTGTGCATGAGTTTATCAGGTCTGGGATGTGTAAATTATCATGCTATTTACACATAAGCTACCGAGGGGTGTATTATACCGCATGTAGCCCATGCTGATAACTATAGTCCATCTAGCATGGTAACTACGTAATAACCATGTTGATAACTATAGTACATCTAGGCCGATAACTACGTAGTAACCATGTTGGTAACTATAGTACATCTAGCCTGGTAACTACATAATAACCATGTCGTGGGATGGTGCATCTTGTCCATTCTTCAAAAGTTAGATGCAGGACGGACGTTGGAGATTCCTAATCTACTCAATCCCTCTCAAATCAAGTGCACACTAAAGTATCGTTTTCAGAAATCAGATCATTAATTGAACATTTTTTTCTCGATCTAAGATTATTTCCTATGAATCCTCGTCATCGCGTGTTTACGTAAAGATAAAAACGAATAAGAAAGAAATAGGGGGACGAGAGAGTGATGGAGATTCCTCAAAGAAAAGAGAAAAAGAAAACATTATGGAATGGTCAAAAGAGTGCGACGTGCTTCCTTTTACACAACAATTAGTCTAATTGAGCTGGCTAGTAAGTGTTTCATGTAAGCTGCTTGCTGTGGGTTCGAATCCTATATTGAGAATCAATTTTCCTGACTAAAAAATCCCTGTAAATAGGGTCTATCAATAGATCTAGCGCACAGAAAAAATCATGATGGACCCAATCCAGAGAGAAAATCACGGACATCAACATTTCAGGAAGTCTTTCTACTAAATGCGCCATCACATTAGCAACTTCTTCAGATTTTTAATCTCAAAAAAGATCCACTACGCATTTAAATTAAGAGAGTTCGCAGATTTAATAACTACCATGTCTGGGTGAGATGGTTAGTACGGTGACGTGCCTACAGGACGTCGGGGGTTCGATTCTCGTCACCCCCTTTCTTTTTCTCGCTTTGAAGCTGTTGTTAACTGTCGTTCGATTCGAAATGAACGAGATCCAGATCGTTCGGATCTGATGCAAACTGCCAGTCGGCAGGAATTTAGCATTCTCGTAATTAAAAACCTTTTTGGATATAGATTTTGATTCAGTTTTGTCTCAGAGGTGTTTTGGGCCTGGTCCATGGGGATTTAGCATAAGCCCATTTATGGGCATCCATATTTTATAGGGCCAATCTTGGGCCTAAACCGAACGCATCCTAGATCCCTGGCCGCTATCTCCAGCCTTTCCGCCGACCGGCGCAACGGCGGCGAGGTCGCCGTTCGTCGGAATGACCTCCTGTCCGGCCCCCCACCGTCTGCGGGAGTCGTACGATGGAGGGGATCGCTGTTGCCAATGGGGCAGAAGATGGACTACCTTCTTCCAGGTAGATGAAGTGCAGGCCCCTCGCCGCACCTGCGACGGGCTACCTCCTCTCCTCAACCCCAGGTGAGGAACTCCAAACCAGATCCGATTCCAAATAAGGCCGAGGAGGTTCGCTGTTGCCAATGCCGAGGCCTTGTCCACTCAGGGGCCTTCATCATGAAAATTACTAACCAAACAAGGCGACCGATGTGAATATTGTAGTAGTGCAGAACTGACTGGGAAAGGTAACTGTTTAATCCCACACATTTAAGCATAAGTTGCTGTGCATATCTAAGATTTGATGAAACGTAGAACATGTCTCTGATTTTAGCTCGGTT